ATGAAATAAATGCTCATCTGACGAGAGCCTAGATGAAAACACTATCGAAGGAGGTCTGTCCTTGCCATTTCAGACTCTTCCCGTGTTGTCTTTATCAAGTGTTTCCTGCATTAAACACACACACACACACACACACACACACACACACACACACACACACACACAATAATAAACATTCAGTAAGGACGATGAAAGCACAGTCAACACCCTCACCTTCTGGTCGTTACTCAGTCTTTGCCTCCGACCACGCCATATGAAACCTGCCCACCAGCCCCTCCCTCCAGCCTCTACCGATCTCTGGAATGTGTCAAATTCCAGCGTTTTTGATCATTTGCTTCTTACGGCTTCCTGCAGTGTGCCTGTAGCACCTTAAGTGGAATCCCTCGGGAGACTGTTTCTCCATGATGTACACCAGGTGCCTGAGGTGGTCAGTGTCCGGCCCAACAGATGTGCAGTAAGTGTTCGCTGAGTGAATGATGATAGGGGGGTGGTGCTGATGAGGGGATTTGTGATGATGGTGGCAACGGGGGAGGTTTTGAAGGTGGCTGTATTGGAGGTGGATGTGGCGGCAGTGGTGGCCATGAGGCTGATGCTGCAGCAATTGTCATGATGTTTATCATGTTATGGTTAGCCAGGGTACTCTGGGAAAATGGAATCCAAGCCTGAGACCAGATGATTTCTAGAAAGTTCCAGAGATCTCAACCTCTGAGAGAGCTTGTCAGAATGTGGGCTTTGGCAACCACTTCTCAGATGAAGTAGGGAGGATTGGTCATGTGTGTGCACATGTGCATGTATGAACATATGGAGGGAGAGAGCCCAAACTCCTGTCCCTCCCATATGTGTGATGTGACAAGCTGGAAGCCATGGTCAGCTGTCACTTGTTGAGTTCATCATTCCTGTCATAGTTGAGGCTCCAAAGAGAAGAATACACATTCAAACCTATGGATCAGCCCACCATGTGACTGGGTGGGCAGGTGAAGGCAAGGCTGTGCCTGGCATATGCTCAACCCAGGGAGGGGGTGAGGGGGGGGGCAGGGGTGGAGCTACTTGCTATATAGCCCAGTCTCTAAAGTGATAAACTCAGCCAGCAGGGGGAGCTGGAAGGCAAAAATGATGGGTGGATATGATCAAAATACATCATGTAAACATGAAAATTTCAAAGGATATAAAATGCTTCGGGTTTGTTTTTGTTTTTGTTTTTGTTTTTGTTTTTGCTTTAAAAAATACTATTCTTTTTTAAAGATTTTTTTTTATGTGTAGGGGTGATGGTGTGGAAGAGAGGGAGAGACAGTGGGAGAGAGAGATGGAGGGGCTGCTGCTGGTGTAGGCCAGAAGAGTGCATTGGCTCCCCTAGAGATGGGAGTTGCAGGTGGCTATGAACATGACCTCCTGGAAGAGAAACAGTGATTCTTAACCACAGAACCATCATCTCTCAAGCCCAAAAAGGAGGAACTGTTTTTAAGGGTATTAGATGTTCCAAGGGTGACTGACCGCCAGAGGAAGGATGTGCTCAAGGAGGCAGGCGTTAGGAAGGAAGATCAACAAAAGCCAAGTATTATGAAAATACCACAATGCACCCATTACTTTGTATGCTAATTAAAAGCCAAATGAATCAGTAAAAAAAAATCTTCTATTAATAAATGCACTCTCATTGTGAGCTGCAGGGCTGGCTGGACTCCTAGAACTCATACCAGACAGTGACAGAAGCCTGCCTGCCCTCCCTACCCATAGGGAGGACTTTCAACATAGCAGTCACCCCGACTGGCATGTGTGAGCTCTACTACACACCCCAGGTAAGCTGCCCCCAGGCCATTCAACACAAAGGCAGGGCTCAAGGGTATTATGCTAGAAATACAGATGCAACCATGGAAGAATCAGGCTCAGGGTACAGCAGAGATGGGATTCTGCATCCCCGATACCCAGAACTTGGGAAAGGAAGATATGGTGCAGATGTCTCCTGACCAGTGTACCTCTCTTCTACAGATGGTGTGGTTAGTAGAGGGCCAGAGAGGCCTCAGAAGCCCTGGCCTAGGCCAGGCACCTTCTTCTTCTTCTTCTTCTTCTTCTTCTTCTTCTTCTTCTTCTTCTTCTTCTTCTTCTTCTTCTTCTTCTTCTTCTTCTTCT